GACTGGCCACCAATACATTGATTTGTTGTTAATTAGGTAATTAACGACAGTGAAACTCTAATAACCGAACATATTTCATGTGACATAGTAACTTATCGAAGCGACAGTGGATTAAATAAGGTGCTATGCGATCTTAAATAGGATATCGATCTTCAGGCTAAATAATTAATTCATTGAGCTACGACAATAGGATTTGATTTAATTGTTTAGTACGTAGTAATTCCCGACAGGGATAGCTAGCACAGTAGTGATATCCTGGCTGTAGAGATATGGATTAAATTGATTGGAATATGTGAATTAATTTGGATATATTAGGTAGTGAGTCCCAGTGTTTCTCCCAGAGCTTTCTTCATTGAATTTATCCCGACCAATTTACTTTGCTTAATTAGTTAATTTTGCTTTTAGATAATTAGTCTCGTTAAACCATTTTCACCTATAGTTTGCTCTATAAATTGATAGAATATAAGATTGTACCAGTCCCTGAGAGACGATACCCGAACTTCCGGTTTACTACGAGATAGGAATTGAAGCTATACGCTTTTGCCCTATCAATAAACAAACACAACAATTACCGAGGGAATAATCCTTTTTTTTATATATCAACTAGCAAAAGCCCGCTCGCTATCGCTTCGCATATGAGAAAAATAAATATTTTAAAGAGTAATAGTTTTAATGGTGACCAAAAATGAAAGTAATCTTATTTCATTTTTAATCATTCTTTTCATAGGTTTGTTATTTACAATAGCATATGATCGATGAACTTGCATAAAGCAGAAGGGTTGTTGAATAGATTATTTGTGTTTAAACTTCTTTCATGACGCCAATGTTTCAATTTGTATGACTAGTAGTTGATCCTGCTATAACTTTTGCAGAATGAAGCAGCTTCTCTGGATCTTTTCAAATTAGGTTGGATATCCATGGATTTGGGTTCAATTGTCTTTCTCAAACAAAAGGAAAAAGCAAAATGAAAAACAGTAAAGTTAAAACTCGCTACCGACTCAAAACTCGTCAACACCAAGTTCAACTCGCTCCGACCTGGTTGGACCAAGTTTTGGACAAATTCACACCTGACACAACACACCTATTACAAAAACAGATAAAACTCGCTGCCGCCGAAAACCTATAAAATCGGGTTCAAATTGCTTTAGTCGAGTCGAATTAGGTTGTATACCCATGCGTTTGGACTCAATTGTCATTCTCAACCAAAAGGAAAAGGATAAATAAATACTAAAGCGGATAAATCTCGCTCATGACCCCAACAAAAAGGAAAAAAGTGAAAGTAAAAAACACGAAAGCGAACGAAATTAGGTCCCGATGCTAAACTCGCCAACATTGAGTAGATATGGTATGGATTTTCGGTAGCTACATTGGGTTCAATTATGATCATGCTCAACAAAAAGGAAAAAGAGAAAGAAAAAACACTAAAGAGGATGAAACTCGGTCCCGATACAAAACTCGTGGTAGCGGCCTTGGGAAACGTTGGTGGGGAACAACTTAGGATTCCGCGACATTATTTCGAGATTGGCTGTAGAATGGGGGGCAAAGGCAATGATTTGTATTCAAGTTAGGATACCCATGTGTTTGGGTTCAATTGTGATCATACTCAACAAAAAGGAAAAAAATAATAATAATAAAGAGGATGAAACTCGGTCCCGATACAAAACTCGTGTAGCGGCCTTGGGAAACAGTGGTGGAGAATAACTTAGGATTCCGCTGACAATATTTTGAGATGCAATGGTAGGCAAATGCGATGATTTGTGCAAAAATCCATAGACGAAAACCTAGCAAACAATAACTAAACACAAAGAAGATGATTTGTGCAAAAAGTCATAGACGAAAACCTAGCGAACAAAACACAAAGGCTATGATTTGTGCAAAAAGCCATAGACGAAAACCCAGCGAACAATAACTAAACACAAAGGTTGTAGAATGGAGAGTGAGGTAAGAGAAGAGTTTGGAACTTCTCCACTTGCATTTGGAGGAGTGTGAGAGCCACTAATGAATAGTAACTCACAACCTAGGCTTTTATAAAAGCGATGATTTGTGCAAAAAGTCATAGACGTAAACCTAGCGAACAATAACTAAACACAAAGACGATGATTTATGCAAAAAGTCATAGACGAAAACCTAGCGAACAATAACAAAACACAAAGACGATGATTTGTGCAAAAAGCCATAGACGAAAACCCAGCGAACAATAACTAAACACAAAGGTTGTAGAATGGAGAGTGAGGTAAGAGTAGGATTTGGAACTTTCCCACTTGCATTTAGAGGAGTGTGAGAGCCACTAATGAATAGTAACTCACAACCTAGGCTTTTATAAAGGCGATGATTTGTGCAAAAAGTAGACGAAAACCTAGCGAACAATAACAAAACACAAAGGCGGTGATTTGTGCAAAAAGCCATAGTCGAAAATTCAGCGAACAATAACTAAACACAAAGGTTGTAGAATGGAGAGTGAAGTAAAAGAAGGGTTTGGAACTTTCCCACTTGCACTTGGAGGAGTGTAAGAGCCACTAATGGATAGTAACTCACAACCTAAATTTTTATATATTAAATTACTTATATCAAATAGTTAACAACTCATCACGATATGATAAAAACCTCTAAACAAACAACCACATAATCTAGATTATGAAGAAACCCAAAATCAATAACACTGATAAGGATTTTATTCATTAGAATAACTACAGCCTTAACTTCCAAATTAGAAACTCATTATCATTTACTAGTTTTTTACCCGGCCGGTTGGCCGGAAAATTTCATTTTATCATTTATATAAATTAATTTATTTACATGTATAAAATCTTTTTAATCTTCTAACTTTTTTATGCTCACGCTTCGTAAGTGAGTATGCTATATGTTCATATTAAAAATTCTCAATATTTAGCACACTCACCTATGATATTCATAGGTTTCGATTCTCTAATAATAAATCATATTTTAAAGGTTTATCCCGTCACATTTAGAATAGTATACAAAAATTTGTCAACCAAGCCATTCAAATTTCTGATCTTATAAAACATCAAAAATTTCGTGATTCTCGAGTGAGGACAAACTCTCAACAATTATTAAGAGTCCATATTATTGGATAAAGATACTTGATTACTCGATAAATTGTGTTTATCCAAGTGAAACTTGACACATACCGTACCCCTTATTATGATCAACTTATCTAATCTTGACACATGTTTATGTGAATGTTCATTAAGTCTCTGCAGAGGATCTTATGTCAAAATTTTTCTATCAAGACACTCAAATTTAGTATCTTATACAATATATTAATCAAATCTTTCAAACTTTTAAAATTATCAAACATACCTTCCAAAATACAAAGTATTAGCCAAACGTTAACTCCCCATTAGCATTTTTGTTAGTAATATTGACTCAACAACATGATGATGAGTTGGAGGAGACACGTGTCAATCAATATTCAAAATTTTAGTATTTTAATTAAGAGAAGATTTACAACATTATTAAAGATAAAATAGAAATGATTAATATTTTGACACGATACAAAATATTTGGTTAAAATTTTGAGAATTCTGAAAGGTATAGCTTTTAAATTTTATTTACTCAATATGTACTAACCCTCAGCACATGGAGTCACGTACTCACAACCATGCAACCAAATGACTTATTAGAATTGCCTTGATCTCATGATTATAAAGATTCTTCATTTTTAACCTAATAGCTCGGTTTAGAGTCTTCTAACTATAAAGGCTTGTAATGTAGAAGACATTCAACTATTAAATGAAAATTGTCAACCCATGTTTGATTAGTGATTGATGAAACATAATGTTTATCGTACATCGTCAACAAAGATTTCTCTAACATTCACACGTGCCATATAATAGTACTTGTACATCATTAAGTTTCTATCCAGAACTTTTACTATATAATACTTGTTTTATTTTTATAGATATATTAATTAGAAATAAGAGTAAGGATGGCAATGGGTCGGGTTTTCCTAAACCATCCTCATTCTCATTCCCATTTTCAAATACCTAAACTCGTACCTGCCGCATACCCATACGGTGGAAGGATTTACAAACTCATCTCCATACCCGCGGTTTTCGGATACCCATGGGTAATACTCGTCCCATAAGCTACTCACCATAAAAAAAATGTAAAAAATTTTGGTACTACCTGCCCAAAAGTATGGAACTTATACATAAGTGGATGAAATTACGATTTGGTGGCCATCAATTATATTTTAAAACTCTGTTTTTCTTTTAATTACCCTTCCTTCTATTGACATATTACAATAGACTCGTTATTTTTGCTGCATATAACAAATGATCCTCGGCGGGGCGGGTTTGGGTATGGGTATGGGGCGGGGGATTTCAAAACCGTATCCACCCATCTCCATCAAAAAATTTGCGTGTTTTACCCATACCCAATCAATGAGAATATTCCCCGCATTGACTGGGTCGGAGGCGGTTGTGCACCTGCGGTCATGGATTTGGTTGTCATCTCTAAATAAGAGTGTTTAATAGCCAAAAATATAAAATAACATAGTTCGTTTATGAAAGTTGATTGATTTTCTAACAATTATTTTCTTTATTTCCATCATTATATTTTGTTTAATTGATGAAAATATTATTTTTTATGTGTGTATTTGTTTAAAATTAGTAGAAATTTTGCTTATAAAATTTAATAAGATATTTTTTGTTTAAACAAATGTGATATATCAGTATATCACTTTACAAACATTAGCCTTCTTCTACAAACATAGATATAATATAAAAAAAAAGAATTATTGAATAAAAGAAAACACCATTAAAAGAAGAGAGAGATAACTCCATAAATAACTCATTAACTAACTTTTTTGCTTGTAAAAAAAAATTATCCACCTTGGCAATTTGTGAATTCTCCAAGTGCTTATGTGGCAAGAAGTTGTTTTTGAACAACCATAATATATAGTAAGATAAGATAAGATTTAAAATCCCCCTATCAATTTCTTTATTGTATCCAAATGCACAACGTCAAAACTAGGCCTAGGCAGCAGCTGATTCATTGCGTCGGGCTTGGACAGCCGCAGCCAATTTGTCAGCCGGCGGCAGACAACTCTTAACAACAGCAAGCTCAGACAGTTGTTCCTTCCATTTACCCATCAGTGGGAACTTGTCCTCATCAATCATCTTCTTGTCACTGCCCATCACTTCATCCAACACATCTAAAAGTTTTGCGAAGGACCCAAATGTTACATCCACAAGTCCAATGCTCTCCCCACCGAAGAACTTCTTCCCTTCCAGCTCCTTCTCAAGGATCCTCAAGTTCTCATGAGCTTCTTCAAGGGCAGCCTCGCCTCCTTCTTTGCCTCTCATTTGTAGGGCACTCCACATTGATGCAAAAGCCTTCAACAACACAAAATTAAGTTCAATGAGGACAATGTTCCCTAATTTCGAGCATCGATCCCATGGAACATGCAAATTCAAGAGTTATAGGAGATTCTGGGGTGGTTAATTAAGAAGATATGGGCTCTTTCTTATTTACTATCGAATATGAACTAATAAATACTAAAGACCTGTACGTAATATATATTTCATAAACCTATTAGTCTCTATAGCTCGAGTTATATATTAATGGAAATCCTCAACTATATGGATATTAATCGTTCACTAACATTGCCCCACAAATGAAACCAGCTCATATGAGGTTAAAGTTTGCACATATGTAAATACCACGTGCTTAACATCGAAGATCATCAGGATTCAAATAAGACGACTTCTCCAAAAGAATCAAGTATCGCCGGAATTCGAATAAAGCCATCTTGTCCAAATTATAACATACCATTTACAATTTTTCATGGTCCATGAAATAGTACCGGATATCGTACCGGAAAAGTCAGCAATATGATATTTTATGATAAAACCGTGGTTTAATTGTATTTCAACCGTTAGATCGTTAAATACCGCCTATCGGTTTAGCCTCCGATACTGGTATTTCGTGGTTGAACCGCCGGTACGGTACGGTTTAATGGAACATGTAATTTTTACTAACATAATATTTTTCTTCTTCTAGAGTTTATATAGAAGTTACCTTTTCATCAACAAATTTAGCCCAGAATCGAGTTAGAGCTCTCTGGTGAGGGTCGGCCGGCAGCAAAGGACAAGTTTGGTTCCACACCTCGTCGATGTACTCCATGATGACAAGCGATTCCGACACGGGCTTCCCATTATGGATGAGGACTGGGATTTTCTGGTGAACGGGATTGCTTTGGAGAAGCAAATCGCTCTTGTTGGTCAGATCTTCTTCCACCGACTCGAACTCCACGCCTTTGAGCTTCAGTGCCCAAATGATCCTTCCGGCGAACGGACTTAGGCCCGTCATCAAAAGCTTAACCTCTTCAACTTCTCCCATTTCTTCTCAATTTCTCTCCCTCGCTTCTTGTTCTTGGTTTGGTTGATGTATATATGGAATGGAAGGATTGGGATGTACAAACACGATGACATATATATATATATATATGGGTGTGAAAGGAGAAGTATTTTATTTTATTTTATTTTTTGGAGTTGAAACCTAGAGGTGACATTGTTGGACTTGAACATTGTCCAAATCGTTTACTACTATGCATCCAAAAACTGCTTCGAGGCATACAAATTATTCTATGACCGTCACTGTTTTGATCATTGGCATAGCCAGAGATATATTTTAGTGGGGTCCAAACAAAATGAAATACAAAGTTTGCCTCAATAGTAAAATCATTGTCTTAGGAAGAGGGGTATGAAGAGGGGTACGTGGTTCTAAATTTACTAACCACACCTTAAAATCCACCATTTTTAATGTATATTCATTTTCCAAGTCCCCTCACCTAGCTCTGCCAATGGTTTTGATAATGAATTTCCAAATGAATATTGAGCAACCATTATTAACTTGCTCTAGATTACTTAAATCAATCAATCTCATTTACCCATAAAATATTCTTGGAAACTCGTACAGTCATTGTTCTGATAATGAATTTCATAACCTCGTGAATTTTTTTGAGCCAAACACGCTACATAGTTGGAAATTAATCATGCCAATTATATTCCTTGATGATTACCCGCCGTCCACTGGTAAGGTAACAGGGTCCGGAGGGCTTGACATCTTTTCGACAGTCAGAAATTGTTATCTATCAACCAACCATACAGAAGAAGAGTTCACACCACATCTTCAATTCCAGCAGAGAGCCATGGACGTTGAATCAATGTGACAGCAGTCTGGCAGTACGGAAACCATGGCTATGGCGCATACCCGACTCACCTCGTATACATGCACAAGCTGGAAACCATGCATATATTTCATTTATGACACTCACTGCCCATAAAGCACGCGAGGCGGAAGACCAACCAGAATGTGAAAACAGTATGCTCTGCAAGCAGTGACAGTGTGACCACCAGAGAAAACATGCATGTTCCATAAAGAAACTATAAGACATATCACCAGTTCAGTACCCTTTAGGGTGAAGAAAAATGAGAACAACACTTGCTATGCTCGGACCCACCAAAACACCTCACTAAAAGATGAAGATGGTGATGAAACAACGAGTTGGAGATAGAGTATCTAATCTCCGTGATAAATGAAAACCATGGAAGAAGAGAAAAAAACAAGGAGATGATTGAGTCTCAGTCCACTAACTATAACAGGATTCACTAAACTGGAGAATCACAAACAGCATTTCTGTGGCCGAATGGATACCTACCAATATTATACAAGATGGCTAAGAGTTAAGCACAACACCTTTCTCCTAGCCGTTAACATATTCACAGCTTGAGACACTACTTATGCTCACCTATTAGCCACTTGCTCTACAAGCATCAACACTACAACAGAGAATTCAGCGTCCTAGAAAAAACCGCCTCTATTTCTAGACAGCAGGCAAGCTGAAGTTTTTTCTAGGTTACTCATCGTCCAAACCTAAAACGGCTAAGGGGGTCATGTGGGGACCAATATACTCTCCGATTGTTATCATAACCATTGCAATGTGAACCGTATCCGTTACTAGGATAGGTTGTTGGGGCAGGGGAAACTGGAAAGTAACCAAAGAAAAAACACTTGCTCAGAAGTACTGCAACTAATAGACCCTACCCACGAATCAGGCACCAATTGCAGAAATGGAAACGATAAAAAACTGAAAAATATGCAATACCTTGGTCGGAAGCAGAAGTTGAGCCTGGTGCCCGCATGCTCATGGTATGCCTAGCAAAATCAGAGTCATTAATTGACATCCCATGGGGCCTAGATTTCGTAGACGAGAGTGGAGTGGAGTGTCCATTTGGAAGATTCGGTGAAGCCTTTTCTGAGGTGGAGATCTGTTAAATACCATACATCAATGACTGAGAAACCAACAGCTAATGAAAACAACTAAACAACAAGGCCACTAACATTCCCATATGCATAAGCAAACCCCTGAAATCATCGAGTTATTCTCAACATGGATTTCACAATCTACCCATGCACCGAATTCTTTCTTTTTTGATAATGGTGAAGATGCATTACCAAGGAAATACACCAGGGGTGTATACAAGTTCAGGAAGCAAAAAGAGGAAGGGGAGGGACACACAAACCGGGACCCAAAAAAAAGCAAGAACAGCAGAAACAACAGAAATAGAGGGGAGGAAAAGAAGACCAAGAGAATACACAAGACTCCTGCAGGAGCTAACGAACCAAGGACAGCAGATGAAACCCAAACAAACCAAAACCCAGAGGCATCTAAATGCTAATGTTTCGTGGAGGAGGGCACGCCTGTGCAAGCAATCTCAGCCAATCCTTGGCATTTCGATCATTGATCTGTCCCGCAGCAGAGATCCAATGAAGTAGTGTTCGTCCAATTTTATGGAAAATGACCTGCCACGTCTTACTTGTATCTTTAAAGGATCTCTCATTTCGTTCCTTCCACACCTCCCAAACGAAGCCATGAAGGAAAAGATACCGGAACCAATCCAGCCAATCACCAGGATCCTCTCGGCACCAGCATCCAAACAACTGTTGGATATCGATCGGGAATGGGCCTCCAACTGACAGAACTGTCATAAATCTGTCCCAAATTCTAGTGCTATACTCACAGCTTCTGAACAGGTGGGACGCAGTCTCAATGTTCGCTTCGCACAACACGCACCTGCTCACAATATTCCATCCTCGCTTCTTTAAATTGTCATGGGTAAGAGTGCGATTATGAAAGAGCAGCCAAGCAAATCCATTAACTTTCGAAGGAACCTTCGATCTCCATACTGACTTGAACGGGAAATTCGCCACTCCCGGAAACTTCTCGCGACACAGGCATTGGTACATTGAGCGTACAGAGAAGCCAGCTCTTGGACACGGCGACCACATAATCCTGCAAGGACCACATGAAACCGAACCAGGAGGAAGGTTTGACAAGAAATCCAATAAATCACACCTCTCTCTTTCAGCCCCCCTCTCAATGATAAAATAAGAGGCAAATTCCAGCTCACCCCCCTCTCAGAAGAAAAGGATACGAACTCAGAAACCCAGCCTTGTGGAAGAGCAGAAGCGGCAGCGACTCTTGGAAAGGATTCACCGAGGGTCATACCATGGTTCCACCGGTCCTGCCAGAAAGACACCCAAGCACCACCACCCGGATCAACAACAGCAAACTTCCAGAAGCAAGACTCTTCCTTAGCAATAGACTTCCACAGCGAGCATCCAATCCTCCCATCAATCTGTCCAGCCTTCCACAAAGAAGAAGGGTTAGGGAATTTTATACTGATCATCTTCCTCCACCACGCTTCCTTTTCCGTGGCGAACTTCCAGAGCCATTTAGAGAGAAGTGCCGAATTCATGCTAGCCATGTCAAGAATACCCAGCCCTCCTTCTTTTTTTAAGGCCTTGCACAACTGCCAGTTAACAAGATGGTATCTTCCTTTATCCTGAACGCCAGACCAAATGAACCTCCGAAGAGATTTCTCCATCTTCCCGATCACCGACTTAGGTGCTTTGCATATAGATCCGAGGAAAAGGGGCTGACTAGATAGCACGCTGCTAGCAAGCGTAAGCCTTCCACCGAGGGAGAGAAATTTTCCTCTCCAACCTTCCAATCTGGACTGAAACCTTGTTAAAACCGGGTTCCAAACCGAAACTGAATTTGGGCTGGCTCCCAAGGGGAGCCCCAAGTACACTGTAGGCAGATAACTCCAACCACATCCGAACATGGCAGCCAATCTATCTGGGTTGTCCACGCTACCAATCGGATGCATCTTGCTTTTTTCCACATTGATTCTGAGCCCGGTAACAGTCTGAAAGCAGATAATAGTTGCTAAAATGTTCATCACCTGATCTTCATCGGCGTCGCAGAAAATAATAGTGTCATTTGCGTAGAGAAGATGGGTCACTTCACCCCTCCTATTGCCCTCATCCATACAAAAACCCGTGATTAATCCCGCCACACGAAGCCGCTCAAGCATCATAGATAAGACATCCATAACAAGATTGAACAGGAAAGGGGACATCGGATCTCCCTGACGAAGACCTTTGCCAATTTTGAAGAACCCAGCAGCTTCCCCATTAACCAGGACCGAGAGGTGAGCCGAAGAGACAAGGCCGTGAATCCACCTTTGGAAGGCCGGAGGGAACCCAAAGCTTGCCATAATCTTAACAAGGCATTCCCAGTTCACGTTGTCGAAAGCCTTTTCGATGTCGAGTTTGAAGATGAGCCCTGGTTTCCCGCTTTTCCTCCTGCTATCAACCAGTTCATTAGCGATCAATGAAGCCTCATGAATTTGTCTTCCACGAATGCCGGAGAACTGGTTTCCAGAAATTAACTTGCTCATGATCGGTTTCAATCTCTCCGTAAGAACCTTTGAAATGATTTTGTTGACACTACCAATCAGACTGATGGGTCTAAGGTCTTTCACCTCGATAACACTCTCTTTCTTCGGAATAAGGCACAGAAAGGAGTGAGCAATGCAGATCGGCAGCTCCCCTTTGATGAAGAAGTCCTCAAAGGCTTTCAACATATCAGATTTGATCACATCCCAACATTTTTTGAAGAACTCCAGAGAGAAGCCATCGGGTCCAGGAGCTTTATCTCCCCTGCACTTTCTAACTGCCATCCAGATCTCTTCTTCAGAGAATTGTCGAACGAGGGAATTCCTTTCACAATCCGAGATGGTCACCCCTCCGTAGCTTGCAGGGAAAGGCCTGACTTTCTTCTCCTCCTTGAACACGGCAGAGTAGTGCTCAACAAAAGCCGCTTTGAGCGCAGATTGCCCTTCAACAGGCGTCCCATTAAACTTGAGAGAGCTGATGAAATTCCTTCTTCTGTTGTGATTGACCACTCCATGAAAATACCTTGAATTCATATCGCCCACCTTAAGCCAATTTTCCCGAGATTTTTGTCTCCAAGCCACTTCCTCCATAAGCAAAACCTTATCAAGATCATACTTGAGAGTATCCCGCCTGCTCCTGTCTTCCACAGAGATAGGTCCATCTTCTTCTTTCCCGTCCAACATCTTAATTTCAGCCAAGATCTCAGCAATTCTAACATCAACTTTTCGAAACTCCTCTTTGTTCCACTTGCGGATTTTCTCTTTTAACATCCTCAGCCTTTGCCCAAAGAGAAACAAATCTCCAACACCTCTGGGTTGACAATTCCACCACTCACTAGTGTTAGCAATAAAGCTCTCATCAAGAAACCACATGTTCTCAAACTTCCAGTACCGATGTAACCTCTCCTCGAACCCCCATTCAATCATAATCGGACAATGATCTGACTCAACGCGCTCTAAAGCAGAAAGCCTGCAGTTGCCCAAGAGACAATCAAAATCAGTACAAATAAACGCCCTATCAATTCGGGAAAAAGTCGGGCTTTCATGAAGATTGCTGAACGTAAACCGCGCTCCACTGAGGGGGAGCTCAATAAGAGCAGCTTCAGAAATAGTTTCATTAAAAGCAAGCATCATCTCCGTGCTTCTAGCAGCCCCTGTGTAATCATCGTGAGACCTGACCAAGTTAAAATCCCCAGCAATGCAAAATGGAACAGAAGCAGATGAGCAAAACTCAGCAACCTCGTTCAGGAAAATCATTTTGCTGTCTCTGTCATGAGGCCCATACACAATAAGCACCGAAAACTGCCGATTACTGGTGAGGTCTTCCAAGGTTGTAGCTAAGCAAAAACTACCTTCCCAAACATCAATTTTCCTGTACAGATTCGTGGACCAATAGATCAGAATTCCACCACTAGAGTTGACAGAGTTCTTTGCCACCCAATCCACGTTTCTGCATCCGCTAACAGAAACCACCAGCCTCTGATCACACAAATCCCATTTTGTTTCTGTCAAACCAACAATAGATGGCCTTTTCATTTGCAAAAGTCTCTTGATCCTTGCTCTCTTATCGCAATTCCCAATTCCACGAACATTCCACGCTATTAATCTTCTAGACATAAGCCCTTCTTATTTCGTTCCATACCTCGCTTTCTTCTAGTTCTAGGGCCTTCAACTGATGGCGCAATAGGCCCAATTCGCAGCTCTTCCATCTCTTTCTTAGTTCGGTGAAGTTTACTCCTCTTCTTCTGCGTAACCTCAGCCACCTGTCTAATATCTGCTTCCACCTTTGATTGATCATCATCTCCCTCCTCCAGCTCAAGCAAACGACAAACAGCCTTGCTTTTTTGGACAAGGAAATCAAGCTCAAACAAAGGGCCAATGCAATTCTCAGCAGGTGCGAAATGCAGAGGGGGTAGACTCTCCGGCTCTGGCTCAGGAAAGAGGGGGAAATCGTTTGGGAATGGGGAAGAGGGGGGGTCAGGAGTGGGTTTGTAAGCAATCTCAGCCACGCGTCGATTGCTAGGGACAAGAGAGGAAGCCAGAGACTGTACTAGCAAGGGGAAGGCAGGGAAGGTTAATAACGAAGAAGATATGGGCTGTGGTATGGGGTTTGGAAGAAGGAAGCAAAGTGGGAACGAGAGGGTGAGGGTGGGACGGCTTGTCATCTGGTTGTTTAGGGTCGAGAGGGTGAGGGTGGGACAGCTTATCATCTGGTTGTTTAAGGTGGGAAAGCTGGTATCAAGATGGAGGGAAGAAGGAAGAACACGCTGAGTGGTAGAATCAGGAGGGGTAGTATCAAAGTGGGAAGAAGAGGTTGGGCTGAAACTGAAAAGGGAGGGGACTCGGTCAAGAGAAACCTGCTGGGCCGAATTCTTTCAACGGGGTACTCAGCTATCCCATAACCTTAACAGTAAGTAGCTACAGTTAGAGTCAAAAGGGACGCAGTTGAAATGTTATGGAAGCCATTGACAAACCTTAAATCTCAGGGTCCTATTGTAAAGGGTAACAAGGCCGGAAAATAGCTTGACAGCATATTCAGCAACCTCTTCGGATTCGTACTCTGCAAATGCATAACTTTTAGGCTTATCAGTTTCTCTGTCGCGAGGAATGTGCAAGTCCACCACTCTGCCCGCTTGAATTAGAATATCATACAACACCCTGTTAATCACCCTCTCGTCCAAATTCCCTGCACCATTATCATCACAAAAATGAAAAAAGCGGTTAGCTTTCACCATAATAACAGCAAACCCAAATCGAGAAGACAAGAAATCAGTAGCAGCAACTGCAAATAAAACAATACAATAAGCCAAACTCTTCCATTTCCGTGTAAATTCACAGAACTAGGGTAATTTAATTGCATAGAGATACTGAGAACCAATGAGAATTGCAAAGGTAAAGAAACAGATCACTTCGCAGCTCAGGCTCGAGAAGCAGAGAAAAACAGAAGACACGAGAGGGGAAGAGTGAGTTTACCAATGCAGACAGTGTTAGAAACGGAACAACAACAAGACCGAGGATATCGAATCTGGAGCTGAGTCGCGGACTAGGTCGCTCTCTTTAAGACGTTCGCGGCACTGCCCTCGATGCGCGGTTTTGTGCGAAAACCGGAGCTCTCTGAACACTCTCTCTATTGTGTTTATGCTCGTTGTGGTGTGTTTAGAGGGGCTGGGGAGGCGGCCATTTATAGGAGCCGAACCCCTAGGAATATACCCTCTTGCTTGGGGAATAAGTCAGATTAATTAAGGAAGATAATTATTTCCTTAATTAAAACCGTCGGTTAGGATAAATCCTGCGGAGATTATCCTTCGAATATTCCTTTTCAATCGATTATCCCTTGGAATATTCCTCAGAAATTATTAAATAATTAATTTCGTTCGGAATTTCTCCAAAAAATATGTATATAGTCTCCATCCATCCATCCAACCGACCGGTCGGACGGACGGCGCGCGCGCGTGTGTGTGGTGGTCCGTTAGGTCCTCCCTCTCCCACAAAAGTGGGTCACCCCAAGGGGCATGCCCTTAGGAGAGAGGCTCCTATCTTTATACTCATTTCACCAAGTAAAACTACCAATGTGGTAGTTTTTCCACTTGAGACTCTATAGCTTTCAAAGCTATTCATACACATTTCCAACAGACAGTCCGAGACATGGTGATTTCTGGCGCTGACGTCGAGCAAGCTGGATGCGACGGATTCTGAACCCTGTGGTAGAAAAAATCGCCGCCGGGGGTGGGAGAAGCCTTGGCAGAACAACGGGAGACGGAGGAACGGATTATCCGATTAGGATCAGATGGGACAAAGCAGGAAGCTGCCGGAGAAATCAAAAACAAAATCCGGCAACCGGTGAGAAATTGGGGAGACTGACCGCTGATGAATGGCTCCGGTTTCGATTTGGGCGTGGTTTTATAGTAAAGAGTCTATTCGGTTGTCGATTTTCGGGTTTCCCAAGTCCGATTTTTTTTCGCACTCCTTTATTTGGTAGTTTGTTGCTGGATAATTTTTGGGCTTACTGGCCGTGGCCCATCTTTTTTAACTTGATAAACAAAAAGCCCATTGTCTTACGGCCCATTTTTAATTAACTCCGTAGCTAAACGGGGCAGGTAATCTATCATTACCCGCGCCCATTCATTTTCCCGGCTCTTCTTTCCAGCCGCTGCCTGCCTGACAAACTTCCATTTTCTGCGCCGGAATCCTCCACCGCAGTCCTCCGAAGCTCTTAACAGTGTCATGCACTGTATCTTCACGTCTGGCTTGATCGCCCAATCTGTTAAAGCTTTTTCTGCTTGTGACAGTGAATCAGGTGAATGGGTTTTTAGATTCTCTGATCGAGTTTTAGAGAGGCCTGGGCCCGGACAAGCGGATCTGGGTCAGGTGTTTCAAGAGAGCAAAAGGGCTTCATAAATAACCAGGCTGAATGAGCCTTCGTCAGATGGGCTGGGCAGCCGGTTTATGAAAAGACGGTTCGGTTTGCACCCCGCCAACCAGCCATTGAGATTTGGCCATTTGGGAGCGTATGGGAACGCGCGAAAGTTGGCTAGGTTATAGAATTGGGCGCCAATCCGGGAGAGCGAATGACGGTGATGCCAGCTCAGCTCACTCTTCGTGGCACCACTTTTCACTTTCAGTGTTGGATCTCCACTTGTCCCCCTTCTTTTCTTCGATTTTTGTCCCCACTTTTTTAAACTTAAAACATTGAAAGAAGAAATCCCACCGCAGGACCTGGTACTGCACACGCAGACTGCTTTTACTGCTCATGCTGACCGAGATGTACTGTTATAACCCGGAAGCTGGCGCTGTGTGGGCTGGCGTTGGGTGGGGGCTCATTGGAATCGGACGGGTGTTTGGAGGGTCGGTTGGGATGGAACTTGGTCGTTGGGCTGTTTTGGTCTGCTGGATCGGTTGTGGTCCACGAACGCGTTGGTCACCAGGGCCCTCTCGGTGGCTGGAGCCTGCCTAGTTGCTTGATTGGATTGATTTAAGGCGGCCGGTCTATTCTCCTTGGCAGCTGTGTCAGGGCCTTTGCAAGCGATCGACGTATCCGTGGGTGGGAGACTCAGAGATGGTGGGCCATAGGGGGGCTGGAAGGGTTTATTGAAAGGAGATGTACTGCTCAGTGGCTCTGCAAGTGGCTTAGGGCAAGGTCAGAGTATTTGAGGTGTGGAGCATTTAAGAGGTGGGAGTCGTGCCGGTTTCAGAGGCTGAGAGAGAAGGGAGGTATGGGAGAAGAGAGGTATGTCTTGATGATGTAGACTGGGCATACTTTCTGAAACTGGAAAGGTAATTGAGGGGACTAATCAGAGAAGCAGAGAAAGAAAGAAAAATATGAGGGGATAGAAGCTTGGTCAGGGAAGCAGAAAAATGAGATTGACGGTTGGCAGAGATATTTCATTCGTTTGCTTGGTGTGGTTAATCTAATCTACCCGTGGTACTATATTCTCTCTCATCGAGGTCAGAGAAACACTCTTCTCTTGAAATATATCTTCCTCTTTCTTTGCATTCGTTTTCTCTTCCTTTTCTTGACTGGGTTCATTCTCTCTCTTTCTATCTAAAAAATGGGGTTTCTTTGATCCTCTTTTTTCAGGTTTGTTCATCGCCTCTCTCAGGAACAGAAGGATCCGAGCTCTGCATCAGAGTTGATTCATCCTTCAACTGTGAATCTCCTATGGTGAGTCGTTATATGGATGCTTTGTATTTCGTTTGTTTCAGTGGATCGATCGAAGTTCCCTGATTTCGTTTGTTCCGTTGTTTTGAGCTATCAAGAAAGGGATTTGAGTGTCCTGGAGTGGATTTGGAGCTATTTGGAAGAGGGAGGGAGGATTCGAAGAACACCCAGAACCACAGGTTCTATACTGATTTCATGTGATTGTTCCTTTGTCTCTCAAAATTTTGTTTCTGTCGTAATGGTCTATATTGATCATCTTTTGTTTTCTCTCTACTTTTGGCTCTCTTCTCATTTTCGAAACAAGTAGAGCTTGGAGCAATCAACTGACAAATTTGAGAGGGTCGGAGAGGAATTGGAAGAAACTCGGATCCCCAAAGTATGTTTTCTGTGTTTTCCTAATTGAGTTTTATGTTACTCTTTCATCACTTTAAATCTTAATGCACTTTCTCTTGCTGAGAGAGAAATATCTCATTAATTGGTTTCTTTCTTTTCTTCTCACCTTCAGAAGATTGGTTGGAGCAAGAAGGGAGTGAGCTCTGCGTTGTCCACGGTGGGAAACTGAACAACGGATTCAAGCGGTCATTGCAAGCGGCCACCTAGGAATGGACGAGAATCCATGTCTGACGTGGAGAGAACGCGGAGAAGACCTAGAATCGCCAGATCTGCTGCACCTATTCCTTTGTTGATCGGGGTTGGACAATACCCACGACCCGGGAAGACGAAGTCCACGACAAAGGGAAACCAGATTTGCGAACCATGCCGTTGAGAATGTGAGGTTTTGCTTTATCTTTTTTCTGTGGTGCTTAGCTTTTTCAGCTTTGTAATTCTTTTTCTTCTCTTTTCCAAAGAAATGCAGGCGACCAGTTCTTGACAGAGATTTCGTTGGTCGGGGTGGATTACTTGGATTTGAAGGGCAATCCGAAAATGGATTCCGGGTGAGATTTCTCGCTATCTCTCATCCGTCGCTGTTGAGTACCTCTATATCTTACGCTGGTTCTTCTCTGTTTTCCTTTTTCGGCGGTGTTTATGAAGCAATCTCCTCATTGTTAGGCGGTCAATTAAGCCAGTAAGGTCGCCTTTGCTGGAGCAAGAAGTAATTGGTTCTAAGATGAGTGGAACCTTTGGTTGGTCAAGATGAGTGGAACCCTTGGTTGGTCAATGGATTCTAAGGGTACAGAGAGGGCTGCAAGAAGATGCAGATCAACGTATTGCCGTTTTGCATTTGGTAATTGTTTCTTTAATGATTGAGTTTGCCTTGCCTTCATGAATCTCATCTTTTCTTTGCTATTGACGACCACAATTTGACTTCAACTCTGTCATTTTTTAGCTGTATTCTTAGACTACAACGAAGTGGTTGGGTGTTTGGAACAAGGAATGAACACATGTGTACGCTGGATTATCCCATGGTGATGGATTTTTAATCTTGCCATCCGCTTTTTTGTATTGTCTTTGGCCCATTGCGGTTGCAGTAGGTTGCATTCGGGTTTCGGGTAATGATATTCTTCTTTTGTGTTGTTTGTGTGCTTTCCCTGCTCTTAATGTTGAGCATAGTGTTCGTTTGTGGATTAGGAGATGATGTTATTCGTCTGTCCGTTTGGCTGATAGTTTCTTTTTTCCCGTTGATGCACTGACGAGAAAATTTGGTCTCCTGCTGTGGCCTTTCATAGGATTATTATGACAACAAATTTTTATTGTATAGCTGTTGGCTGCAGAATGATCAAATCAATACCAGCAAGCCTTCAAACTGCTATTCACCATTTGTTTTCTTTTACAACTAACCGGTTTTTTTGGTGTGCCAATGATTGAAAATGTGATTCAAGCCCTCCATAATTGTAAAATGTGTACTTTGTGAAGGCATTCTAAAGACAAGTGTCAGGCTAAAAAGATAGGTAATTTGTATGTCTGTAGGTGTTTTTTCGTTCAGCTATTAGAATTGTTTTTAGCTCAAGTATTACCGATTTTTAGTGTCTGTGTGTTCATGTGATTATTGTCCTATGAGGTTTGTCCTTGAGAACAATTCCCAGTCTCTATGACCAGTCTTTTCAGTCGATGACCAGTCTCTCTCATTTCCTGCAGTAGAAGGTAAGGTAAAGGTGGGGAGTCACATTTGATATAAATGGCTCATTTTGTAGCTTAATATGCAGCACCACTCTTGCAATATCACCTATGGTCTCAGTACTGACCGTAGTGTTCCTATTCTGGTCATGTAGAAAATCATAGCATCGCTTAAGTGAGTCATCTAGATTCAAGCCTGTTTAGATTGCTTATGACATGAAGGAGTTAATTAGAAAGGTTAAATTGTTATGTTAGGTTGGTAGTCTTTATCATATTTCCATAATTAGATGTATTGCTTTGATAAGCGTTTGTTCTATGATTGATAGGTGTCAGTTTTCTAAAACTTTTTGTGAATTTGCCCGATAGAAAATCATGAATCTAAGCAGAGATGAAAATGCATATGAAGTAGTAGAGAATCTCAGGAAAAATGTAGACTACCTAACGAGAATTAACAAACCTCTCAAGCTTTGCCAATTGATACCTTCTCAAATTATTATCTGCTTCACCTTTCTTTCTGACCGAAGTCGTTCAAGTGATATGTTGTATGTTGTGTAGCTGTTCTGATTGTTTATTTGGCGATTGTGTGTGTAGTGAATGAGTTCATTGAAGCTAGTTGTGGTGTGACCATAAACTAAATTCAGATGATACTTTACCTGGAAATGAGGAATTAGAATTTGCTGCTGGAGTTGGAGAGCAATCTCAGTCGGCCATGCAGTGTTGAAGGATGAGCCTTACAAGAGCTTATTTGATTTGGGAGCGTTCACTGTAATGGCCTTTTGTTATTACAATGATTCAGTTTGTTGTTTTTTTTATTTGTGTCCGATTGATTTTTCTATAGTATTGGTGATAAGCTTTACCTGGTTTTTCGAGTTTCTCATGTATAATTGGTCAATTATTGAGAACTTGGGCCTTGCTTTCCTGTGCAGTTGCAATTTGTCAATGCGTTGCTTTATATCTTCTATAGTTTTATGGATTAATAACTAATTAGGATCTGAGAAAATGAACTAAAGAATGCCATATATAATTATATGGAGGAGCTATACTAGAGTTGGAAGTCAAAATGAAGTCCTAAAAGTTTAGGGGATTAAACATAGTCTAGGAATAGTAGTAGAGGTTATGTAATTAATGTAGAAAACCGTGATTAATGGTTGCCATGATCCTTACTTAACTTAATGTGATAATAGTTAGTCGTGGCTCCTTGGATGTTGTATGGAGATTTGCTAACAAGTCTGCAGAGTAAGATAAGGATGGAGTCGCACCTCTTTTATTCCTGGAGAAAGTATATTGGATATGAGTAGTGTAGTATTCTAAGTATAAATGAGATAAAATCCGAGGATTGCATGTAGATAATTGTAAACAAACCACAAAAGTCTAGCTCAATGACTTGTCAGTTTTTTATATCCCTGTCTTCTTTGTGTTCTCAGGTCGTGCTGCTGATACAAAATGGATCCAAATCTTGAATAACCCGTAACAAACCACTTTGAACAAAGATCGGGTTGTGAGATGAATTCATGAATACGCAATGGTACTGGTCCGCTGGATGCAGTATACGCAGCCCAACAAAGAAACAAAAAGACAGAAATTTTTACCCGTGCTAGCCGCGATAAAGAGCGGTGCCTCAAATGTAAAACAGGTGGAGTGTAGGCCCAAACAACAAAGCCCAACGTCCGTTCGTTTTATGACACCGTCACAGACAGTTTGGCCTTTCGAATCCCTGAACTGTCGCAAGGCTTCCGAAGAAACCAACCTCTGCGCCCTCGATCGCAAACCGCCGCGAAAGCCCCATACTTGGACCGCAGGAAATTCCTGCCACAATGGTGGGTCCTCGACTACTTCTACGTCGCCATTCTTACAGTTTCTAAAATTACTGCTCATCGGTTTCTTCGTTGGGAAATCAGAAACCACACTTGAAATGGCCACGTCGCGGCAAGATCGGGACGTGCACGATGCGATGCCATGGTCCCCACCGATCTTCAGGGTGAGTGCAGTCAGTTTTGGGTCGTTGGTCCTGTGAACATTATCGATTCCAATACGACCGCCCACTAAAAAAGGCTGGCCGCTTTGCTAAATCACAAAATCTTGAACTGTGTTACAGATCCTGTTGCATCTTCCGACACCTTTCGAGGTTTACGTTTGGGTTGCAACCATCGTACTGTGGTCGCACGGCTTGTCAGGTTATGGTTTCAATTCAGGAGATGAAACATGAGGAGGAAGAGAACCATGCACATGCTTTGGCTGGACAAAAAGGTTGTTGATTAAACACCAGACATCTTTGCAAGATCTCACCATTTTGCATTTTTCATTATAACAAATTTGTGCATTGTGCTTTCAGCACTTAGATTACAAAGAATCTGAACAATTTCTCACATGCCAAAGGAGTGTTTCAATGATCGGCTGCTTTCTTACAGGACCGATTGCTCGAGGGAATTGTTGAAGAGGAGGACATCAGGGAAATTTCCACAAAAATCAAAGTCAACAAGCTCCATCGACTGGATACAGTTGTTGCTGTCCCTGCAAGAGGAACGGGTCGGATTGTTCACAGAGAATTATGCTTATTGCTGACATCCAGACAGCAAATTTCCTACATTCACGAGGACCCTGAGAATCCCCAGTTTCCCGTTCGCTCATACATAAACTCTGACTTTTCAGTGGCGCCAAGGCAAACAGATAGCTACGACTGCCATTCAGGTGCGCTTTCATTTGTTTATCTCATTACAATATCCTAATAAATGTTTTTGTGCCTTAAACTCAATTTTATGATTTAGACATCACGGGATGCGTTAGGTGCCTCACAGTCCCAAGAACAATTGATGGAACCTTGAAAGAGTTCCTTTTGGTCATCGAGGATGCGTGGTATGTTTTCAATAATTAATAACCATTATTTCCTTTATGAAAATTGACAGAATAACATATTTGTTATTACAAACAGTGGAGCAAAGGCCGTGGTTCGTTACCGTGGCTATGACATAGATGACTATTTAAAGGATGCACCAACTGCTGAAGCTCGCTTGCCTCTTATCACAACTGTTAAGTTAGCAATACGAGTGCCTCCTTCAAATGGCCATAAATATGCAATCGAATTTGAATCCACGCCTGTCAGGACTGGTTATACGAACATACGCAGATGCCTTCAAGGACACCATGCACATGTACATTGCTTCCAATATTACCTGCACATTAGTTGACCAACAAATATTGCATCACCAATGAGTCAACGCTAACCCAATTTGTTTGTCCTCCAATATAGTTTCCTAAGGAAGCGAAAACCAGTTCCTTACGTCAGAGTGGACACTGGGGAGAAGCTAGGTTGGCTGCGAGCACCAAGACCTGAAAAGAAGACACTTGGTGAGATTAAGGCAAGCCTTGGTTCTACAGCAAGCGGCAACAAGGTAGTCCCATGCTGATTCTTTACACCCCGTGCACATCCACCGATTTCTATACTTAGCACACTGACATCAATAAAATTTTTTTGTTTGATTTCAGATCCTCTACGCCTGCAAGTTTGTTTTCACGCAGGTTATCTACAGAGAATCCATCTGCAGATCGACTCCAGAAATACCGGGGTAAGTTTTAATGATACCTGTGTCGTTTGTTCCCTAGCTAATACATATATTAGCTGCAAACCTAACGTTAACTCTTTGATACAAGCTTGCGCTATCAACTGGAAGCAAGATGCCGCGACGGTTCAGAGGAAGCTGACGTCGTGCTGGAACACGAGGCAGTTCTGTCATTACTCTGTGTACCACCAAACAAGTACGCGGCGCTGAGTAAGGAGGACATCAACCATTTGCTCGGGAGGAACCGTGGCAAGACATTTGCAAGGGAGCTATGCATTGCGTGGCCAGATCTGAAGTGCCCAAATTCACATTCCGCGCCACACATTCGAATTCCCACGCTATGGAACGAATCGGCCTTTGACAACTGATTCAGCATGCTTTGCCTAGTCCATTCACATGCTAGCTGTCAAATTCTGCAGAGAATGTCAAACAATTTATGCTTGTGTGCTTTTGCAATATGAGAACTTGCTATTAGGTTATCTTCTGTACTGTACATGCCGTTCCCTGAACATGACCCACATATTCTGTAGATCTTTGTTGGTCTGGCTATTTCGCAGCAACAACTGCCACCTGACTTAATCAGGTAGTTCAGTCGGCCTGAATCTATTGTAAATGTTGAAGACATATTTTGGGAATTACTTTTGCATATGTATCATTATGTCATTGCCACAATAGTAATCAGTTAGCCAATTGGTCCCTAATATGGACTATGATTCAAGAGTTGTTTGAATATTAGAAGTGATGACAACAATTTCCTTGCATACTACCACCGTTTCCCATATGTGATCTTTAACATTATGATTATTGAAATAGGAACTGGCTATTGTTACGTATTTATTCTTATTTTTTTATATCATCGAATCTAATGTTTTTTGCAAATGCTTAGAAATAGCATTGCTTTGTATGCCTCCCGTTTATCAAGAATTATAGAGATCATTTGTGGTTTCAATTCTCCATCAGCAACGATATCTAATGCTGTAGTATACAAAATTGATGTTGGAAAGACTACACCTAAAAAATACAACCCTACTCTTCCATCTGGGCCTTTAGCCCAGAACTTATGCCTGATCTTATACCCTTTCTTTCCTCTTTTTCTTTCGTTTCGTCTA